TGGTACGGGACGCTAAACGCCGCCATATTCTCGAAAACATAACTTCTTCTTCTCCTGCCGATATTTGGAAATTCCTCGGAACTCTGGGTATCGGTAAAACGCAATATCCAGACCTTCCTAACACAATTGGCTTAGATGATCTAAACAACCATTTCTCCACTGTCCCTATCATGGATCGTCTAGTCAAACAAAATACGTTATCTTTTATTGATGGTCTGGAGCGTCCTAAGATTTCTTGTCCTTTTTGCTTTGCACCGGTTCAGTCGGCGGAGGTCGGAAAGATAATCCTGTCCATTAAGTCCAAAGCGGTAGGATGTGATAATATCTCTCGTCACATGATCACAACTGTACTGGATCACATCCTGCCAGCAATAACCCATATTGTAAATTTTTCCCTATTTTCAGGAACCTTTCCATCCTTGTGGCGTAAGGCCTTTGTTCGTCCTCTCCCGAAAATCTCAAATCCCTCTCTCCCCACTCATTTCCGTCCCATATCCATACTTCCTTTCCTTTCCAAAGTGCTTGAGGCCTGCGTACACAAACAGCTGTCCAACTTTATTTTCCGGAATTCTCTTATTAGTCCTCTCCAATCCGGGTTCAGACCAGGTCACAGCACTACTTCCGCTCTCCTTAAGGTGACTGGCGATATTAGGACTGGCCTCGAGAACACCAAGATTACAGTTCTGGTTTTAGTTGATTTCTCGAATGCCTTCAATATGGTCAGTCACGACATCCTTCTAGCCGTCCTATCCCATCTTATGATCTCTGACAAACCACTGAACTGGTTCTCTTCTTATCTTCAGGAGCGTCAGCAGTCGGTCAAGCTTGATGATGGTTCGTCTAATTGGCGTGAATTAAGGGCTGGCGTTCCTCAAGGCGGTATACTATCTCCTCTTCTATTTTCTATTTTCATTAATTTTATAACTTCTGAACTTCGGTGTGCGTACCATCTGTACGCTGACGACTTGCAGCTATATCGTCAAGCTCATGTTGATGGGCTGTCTGATGCGATCTCGGAGATGAACGTTGACCTGGCGGCCATCCAGAACTGGTCCGATAGGTTTGGCATAGCAGTGAATCCTGGGAAATGTCAAGCCATTCTTATAGGTGGCTCCCGCACGATGAATAGAGTTGACATGGCTTCCTTGCCGGCAGTGGTTTTCGATGGAGCAGTAATCCCGTATAGTGATGAGGTGAAAAACCTGGGACTGCATATGGATAATAATTTGAAGTGGCATGCTCAGGTCACCAGTGTGTGCAAAAAAGTTACTGGATCCATGCGAGCTTTGTATCGTGCGAAAAACTTACTTCCTCCCGCTACGAAGGCTATGTTGGTGCAGGCTTTGGTTTTCCCTATTATCGATTATGCTGATGTGTGCTACTACGACCTGAATGCAGATCTCCTCAACAAACTTGACCGACTTCTAAATAACTGCATTCGATTCGTTTTCAACCTGCGTAAATACGATCATGTTTCTGCACATCGGCTGCAACTGAAGTGGCTGCCCATACGCCAGCGCAGGGAGCAAAGGGCGCTAACCACTCTATTCTCTTTTCTTTGTTCACCTTCTTTACCCAGTTATCTATCCCCTTACTTTCAATACTTGTGCGCAAACCACAGTAAAAACCTTCGTTCTTCCCATAACCGTCTTCTCCAATGTCCCACTCATCACACTGACTTCCTTCATTCTTCCTTTTTCGTGCAGGCAATTTTGCTGTGGAATGCGCTCCCCCTGGATGTCAGGATGGTGTCGACACGTCTAACATTTAAACAGAAAGTGCGTGAGCTTCTTTTGAAGAGGTTGGCTGAATCGTCACAATAATTATTTACAGAGTATTAGTAATTATGTTCATATTTATATTATATGCTATGAGTCTATGTATGTATGTATGTATGTATATTGTAGTGTACTCGTGTGTAGGTATATGTATATATATTATTACTATATTTATTTATGTTCATATTTGTAATATGTTAGTGTAATCTTCTATTTTCTCAATTAAATCGTTGCTTGCTTCTTGCTCCTACCACTCACTCTTCTCTGCATCACCCAAAGGTCAGACTGGGAGAAAATGCCTGCGGCATTAAGTCCACCTTGTGTACACCTTGTGCATGAAGCGTTAATAAAAATAAAAAAAAATAAAAAATATGTGAGCACCATGTTGGACTTTAAGTTAATTTTTATTTATTTATTTTTTTTAATTTTTGTAAGTTATTAGTATAATGCGTCAAGCGTGTCTTTGCATTGTTCTTACATATGCGTACAGTATTGAAATATGTATCAGAGACATTGTAGAACATACTTTTTTAAAAAGAGTAACGAATGGAGTTTCTTGCTCGTTCTTCTCCATTCGAATCTACTTTTTGGAATGAGCACCTAGCTTCACCTAGTTTCACTGACGGACTGACTGACAGACTATTATTTATTTTGTATTTGTTGACGTTTCAAAAGCACCAAACTATAGTTTAATTGAAATAAATGCTTTGACTTTGACTTTGACTTTGTTAGAGTTAAATTAAATAAAACACTAGCTGACCCGGCAAACGTTGTTTTGCCATATAAATAATTTCGTAGAAGGGTGAAAATTGTGGATTGTATGTATTTTTGTATGTTGTTGTATCATAAAAAAATTGAAATTAAAAATTTTGTCGAAAAAATTAAAAAAAAATTAGGGTTGTAATACCCCTAACATTTACGGGATAAAAAATAGATGTTGGCCGATTCTCATAGATACCGGATAAGCACAAAAAATTTCATCACAATCGGTCAAGCCGTTTCGAAGGAGGTATGGCAACGAAAACTGTGACACGAGAATTTTATATATTAGATTGAACATAATTCTTTACACATCATAGAGCCACAGCTTCGGCTAAACAAAAGTGATACCACGGTGTCACAAGAACCGCGAAAAAACACCTGGGTTGTATTTCGCTGTGAGAGTGAAGTTATCAGAGGACCATGATGTTTCGGATGGCCATGGGTGGCACAAATTACTCTTACCATCAGGTGATCCGTCAACTTATTAGTCGCTATCCTATACAAAAAGCCTTATAGAGATACTTAAAATATAGAAAACTAGCTTTTACCCGCTGCTTCGCTCGCGTCACAAAAGGATAAAAAGTAGCTTATGTGACATATACCAATACACACAGCGCCATCTATATCAATACTTTTGTTTTTCCTCGGGAATATCAATTTTTTCGGGATAAAAAGTACCCTATTATTTAATCCGGACTTCTAACTTTACGTCTGCAAAAATTCAAAGCAATCGGTTTAGTAGTTACGGCGTGAAAGCGGAACAAACAAACAAACTCACTTTCCCATTTATAATATTAGTAAGGATATCCCGTAATGCAGGCAGCAAGTACTGGGCAGCCCACAATGTAACTGGAAGTATCTACTTGGATACTGCACCACTAACCTATAAGTAACCAGGTATTCGTGACGTCAATGTAGCCTTTGTAAAACATTCAGTAAGGCCAACATTCGATCCAGTACTACTCTAACAAAAAATAGTTTCTCGATTTCCCGCCCGATTATAAACACGAAGAGGTCGAGGTTTATAGGTCGCTTTCAGTTGAATGCATGAAGTAATTTAAAGGGCTTGTAAGTAAATTATAGTGATTGTACTTATATTGTTGTCGTAGAAGGCGTTTGAGGATTTTCGGAAATTCAAAGTGATAGTTGGGCTTCCAGCAACCTCACTCAAATGACGAAACACGATGCAAGCGTTGTTTCACATCGGTTTTCTGTGTAGCCGTGGTATCACTCCGGTCTTCACTTACATACATACATACATAACTTCACGCCTGTCTCCCATGAGGGTAGGCAGAGACTAAGGAACGCCAATTACTACGATTCTTACATATTACTTACCACGTCGAAATGTCTCCATGCTTAATTACTTTAACAAGTGTTAAGTACTTTGCTGTGTATCGTACTTTACCGATGTCCAAGATGGAAATCCAATCAAAACCTTTTATGTAACTTACCTTGTAGTTCAATAACCTAGGGCCATAGGGCAAGGTTCCACTCCACATTAAGTATGCGTCAAGAATTTATGATTGATGATGGTATTTCAACACGCGGAATATTTCTATTTGTATTTACGACCTTATAGTTGCAGGTACCTTTTTACATGTACAAAAAAAGTTACCAAGAATCTGTGTGTGTCCTTCTAAGGGTATTTTTAGAATGTAATATATTTGGTATACTTATAGGAGTTTTATTTAAACTTCATAAAGTTTTATTATGATTTGATAAGCGGTCTTAATGCAAATTCGCTGCCAATTACATCTTTGGGTAATGCAGTAATAGTCTACAAGCATTTAGGAACATTATAATACTACATTACAATTTACAATTATTTTCTTGACTTCAACAACTGAATCTGCATCAATAGACACAAGAATTTCTGAATAAGAACGGTAAAAGACAACAAGAAAGTTAAGACGAAAATCTCTGTAGGTATCTTTAGTCCATAAAATATAGCATGATCGAAGAAAACACTTTCTATACTTAATATGCAACATTTACTCAACTAGATTTAAAATATTCACCAAGTTACCAAATCTTACAGAAGCAATGCGGAATAGAATAACAAATTTAATATTATTTAGCGACACATTTGGCAGACTCGCCAAACATCAGTACCTAATAAGTCCTCTTTAGCTCTTCCATATTTACTTATTTCATACACACTTCATTCATTACCTGTTGAATTTGTAGTTCACACAGCATATTTAGACTGTTTCACTCATACACGGGAAAATTCCGAGCCAAAACGTTCTTTATTGTCATTTGTTGGTATCATAGTCGTAGAGGGTCAAAATGTGTGCTCATTAAGTATGCATTTGCCTTGAAGGACATTTGATGTTAGAGTACAGTGGGTGAACACTACAAATCTCATTCTTTCTATCAATATATTATACTGAACAGCATAGCTGTTCAGTATAATATATTGATTGTTAGAACCTTAATCCTAAATGTGGGAGAGCCATGCTTCGGCACGAATAGGCCGGCTCGACCGGAGTAATACCACGGCCTTACAGAAAATCGACGTGAAGCAACGCTTGCGTTGTGTTTCGTCGTGTGAGTGAGGATACCGGAGGCCCGAATTACCCTTCCCTTCCCCAATCTCCCCAATAACAGACTTCTCAACGATCCTCAAACTCCTAATCCCCAAAACGCCGGTAACGCACTTGTAACGCCTCTGGTGTTCCAAGTGTCCATGGGCGACGCCGATTGCTTACCATCAGGTGATTCGTCTGCTCGTTTACCGGCTTATGCTATAAAAAACAAAAAAAAATCATCATCATAAGAGCCGAGACGTTCACTCCTGAACACTAGGCTTCTCCCAATGACTATAATAACATCACGCCTTTTATAGAGGCATAGGTGTAGGCAGAGGTGTACATTATGCCACTATACAATGTAACACCGACTTTTCACTATTTATGTTATGAGTCCCATGTAATAGGGGGTGAGCCTATTACCATATACCGGGCACAATTCCAGACTCCGTGCTACTACTGAGAAATTTAAAAAAAACTCAGTAATACTTTGCCCGACCCGGGAATAGAACCCGAGACCCCTTGTCCGGCAGTCGCACTTGCGACCACTCGGGCAATGAGGCATTCAATAAAATATGCAGCAAGAAAATACTATAAGGAAAATAGTACACGTATGCTCGATTATGTCCGTAGTTTATTTTTAAAGAACTGTTTTAAATCCGATTTGCATTGTCCGCTCATCACTATTCCCATCATGTATACGTACTTAAATGAATCTAAAAATGTAGTGTGACCTCTGAGTTTGTTTTGAAGTCTTAAAGACAGGAAACGTGTGTTATTATTTCAAACTGCCTGTTGATGACCAAAACTCAAGACCTAAGTAACGAAACCATAAAATGCATATTCATTAATTTAGTTCAATTTTTATAACTAGATGGCGTTGCCGCGATTAAATGCAAGCTATGGTTTCGTTACATCGATTTGCTTAAGATGGTAATTTTTTGTATGTACTAAGATCGAACCAAAATGAATATAGTTATAAACCAGCAGTTCAAGCACTAATTACGGAGTTTCAATTTAACCCGTATTAGTAGCTATAGTAGGTCAACTTTACTTCGGTAAAAAATACTGCCTTAAGCTAGCAGCTTACCTAACGGGTAACCGGGGCTCCGGCTCGACGTGCAGGAGAAGGAACGGAGTGGTTTTTAGTCAGTAAGAGTCTGACACTCCCTCCCGCCTCACCCAGGCGGGAGCAGTCATTCGATGATTTTCCCCCCCTCAAAAAAAAAGCTAGCAGCTTCACCGTGGTGCTAGGATAAAAAGTAGCCTAGGTACATGTATTATTCTATCTATCTCTGTGTCAAATTCTGATTAAATTCGCTCAGTAGTTTTTGCGTGAAAGGGTAAAAACATTTCACGCAATCTTTAACATTTATAGTATTAGTACGAGCGAAGCCGTGGGCAACAACTAGTTTATAATCTTAGTAGGATGTAGGATATAATAGTGGGATGTAGGATTTTGATATTTGTTTGTGTAAAACTTAGTTTATTGGCTAATTACTTTACGTTTACGACTTTAATCCGAATTGTGGTCAAGGAGAAGATTTACTAAGATGGTACATGTTTGGTAAATGTTTGCCGACGACTTTGAATTGTTAGGAACTTATTAAATGTTGCCCAATATGATCCTAAGGCTAGGCTCTGCTAAAATGGTGTGGTTGCGAAGCTGTATCAACATTTTTAGTCGTAATAATCCTTTTTTTACCTTTTGCGGAGGTGTTTGATTAATGTTGATACAATAATTGAACAGAAAGCAGAACAAAAATTGGACGCCATATTTTACTTTTTATTTCAAAATATTTTTTTCTGTCATTATGTGAATTAAGTTAAATATCCAATTTAGTTTTGCGGTTTCAAGTAAAGTAAATAAACATTCTTTTGAGAACACGTCTGGGAAAAAACGTAATAAGTAAATTATGATTTTTGTTACTTTTGTAAATATGTTTTTATGGCATATCGGTAAACAAGCAGACGGATTACCTGATGGCAATCGGCGTCGCCCATGGACACCTGGAACACCAGAAGCGTTACAAGTGCGTTATCGGCCTTTTGGGGATTAGGAGTTTGAGGATTGTTGGGGATTCGGGGATTGGGGAGATTGGCAAAGGGGGGAGGGAGCTGGGCCTCCGGTAACCTCACTCACACGACGAAACACAACACAAGCGTTGCTTCACGTCGGTTTTCTGTGAGGCCGTGGTATCACTCCGGTCGAGCCGGCCTATTCGTGCATGGCTCTCCCACACTTGGAAATGTGTATTAAAAATAGTTAATTTACGTAGAAATAATATCAAATATCAACACTGTGACGTGGTGACGACAAAACTGCCTTCTTTATTTACTAAACCAATATTAGGCCTCATGATACAGTAGATTGGAGTGTCCGGAATGAAATGTATAAATATTTTAACGTCAGTGTTGAAGTGGCACCTAAAATACACTACAAATATAACTGGAAGCCCATTTGTATGCAGATCCTGGCGCCAAACAACACGAGATGACGTCACACTACTAACTAATACATCAACTTAAGAAAAAAATCACGCGCCAACATAAATAAATCGTTATTATGCGACCTAATCACGCGCAAACCGATTATATCAATTTACTACATTGCAAGGATACTGCATCTAGTATAAAATACTTCATTTATTTTTCTAATTATCCCTTCAAGCGTAATTGGAGCATCAATCTATTTTAATCGGTTTATTTATTTACCGTGTTTTCGCGCCATTGCATAGAGGTGACGTCCTCCATGTTTGTTCTACAGATTATGTTCTAATTGAATGCAAGGAAGGTTAGGATAAAAAATACGGAAAAAAAGAAAATAAATAGTTTTAATTGATATTTTATTTTTGTTTAAAACAATTTATTAGATAACTCTACATTCCGTTCATGTTCATACAGATGCGAATGCTAAGCATATCCTGGATGATCATTTGATAGTTCAGATATTAAAGTTGTTCGATTTAAAATATTCAGTCTTCCTACTTTTAGGAAGACTTTTGGTCCAGACTTTGACTGACTGAAGACCATAGGGTAGATGACTAATTTTAAAAACACGTATTTTTTATTTTCTTGCGGAAACGAATAGTTTTGAAGATATATTGATTTGATCGCATGACGTCACTTTTGAGTACGTTTAAATACTCTAAAATGACGTCGCTACCTCCCCACTCCTAAACTTTAATTCGTTTTATCTAAGTATTGTTTTCTTATACGACAAAATAAAAAAATACGTGTTTAATATTTTTTCATTACCTAACTGACGAACTAATAAAATTTTTGATTTTCATACCCTGTCATCATCCCTGTATAAAGGGTGGATTTTGATGCTCCTCTTATTAACTACCTTTAGACAAAAACAAACAAACTGTAGCACTATGTGCAGAATTTCCCACGTAGATAATTTAGCATAGATTTAACGATTACCATAATCGTAATTATCGAATGTGCGTGCAGGGTGACACTGAGGTCAGCCTGCCAACAATGGCTAAGGGTGCCCCATGATTACCACAACATAATAACAGTATTGACGGTCCAAGACTGTAATTTAGCATAATTGTGGGAGCAGCTTGTTTGTTCAGGATATGAAGTGTGTGACTGGATGCTAGGGTTGCCACCCGTACTTTATAATAAAGTATTGTACGTTATTTAAGGTAATTGTACTCTATACTTTATAAGAATAATAAAGTACACGAATATACTTTATTTTTGCAAAATTCGATATCAATATTTATCGACTTATGTTGAATCGATTTCGCCACTCGCCAGCGCCACTTAGACAATTTCTAGTAAAGATGCAATTGTTTAGTATTTCAATGCAATTGTTTAGTAAAGATACCAATTTAATACAAACTGCAAAAAACAATAAAAAGTGTATTTTTAAATATAATACTAAATAAGAATAAATTGTACTTTATTTTTGTACTGTGTACTTTTTTTTCTTACCTTTCATCGTCAATATACTTTAAATACCAAAATAAAAGGTGGCAACCCTACTGGCTGCCAACGTGTTGAGTGATTATATTATAGGTATATTAGTAGGCTGGACCCAAAGTCCTGATAGTTATTTTCTATTTTGGTTAAGGGGTATCGGATTCCACTGCCTTAGTTTCAAAATCAATTGGAAAATCGAAAACCCAATGGAGTTTTCGGTTTTCCGCATATTCTTGGTAATAGCAGACAGTCCGAATTTGTGCCCCAAGTACGTGTGATGACAGGCTCACCCATTTTTACAACAATGATATGAGTTCCAACCGCGAAATAATGAAAAGTAGTTGTAAAAATTTGACTTATACATACTTATGTGCAAAAATTCCGGAATTATATACCTATGATTTTTATAATAACTATCTTAGGACATACTATCTATAATTTTATATGTGAGTTAAGTGCTACAAACTAAATGAAATTATGACAATAAGTGTGTACAACGACGAGTAATATGGACAGCAGCCCCTTCAACCGGAGCGGCATTACTCGCCGCACCCCTCCGCCGACAACACCGTGCCGGGAACAACCAGCCCAAATTGACCCTCCAGAAGTTGTGACTACATCAGATCTTCACCAATGGACCGGATCAGTTGAGAGATACCTACAAGAAATCTGCAATATTTCTTCCGAGGGCAAACTGAACTCCGAACAAAAATTGAAAATTAGCAACCTCTGCCGAAAAGTATCCCAAGGTTTCACCCACGTCACTGTGCAATACCAAGCCCTGAAGAATAAGGCATTGATCCAACACTATGCCTTACAGGACCTCAAGGAAAAAGATGACCTTGCTGTTTCTTTAACGCAAATTAAAGAGACGATAAAAGAGTCCTGCTCTAAATCCGTGCCACAAAATAGCTCTTTTGCCGACATGGTGAAAAAAGGTGCCAACAACTTTGTACGTCCAAGCCCCTTAAGCTCTGTTGCAATTTATCCTAGTGATAAATCAAAGACCAGCGACGAAACTAAGAACATTGTACAAAAAGCCATTAGCCCAGGAGACATCAATCTAAAAGTACGTGGCGTTCGCAAGATACGTAACGGCGGTGTCATTATTAGCACTGAAACAAAAGAGGACTTGGAAAAGCTGAAGAAATCAGTCCAGCTCTCCTCCACAGGACTTACCGTTGATGAGCCGAAAAAACGTAATCCGCGACTAATTGTTTTAGGAATCCCGAACTCAATGGCTGAGCCGGAAGTGTTCAAATGTATTTTTGAACAAAACGTTGCTGAAAAGCTTCCCAGTTTGTCCCGTGATGCCTTCCTGGCTTCAATAAAATTAAGCCATAAATCAGGAAGGAGAGACGCCGACCACTGCAACTTCATCATTGAAGTTTCAGCCGCCCTACGTAAAGCCCTTATAACGCAAGATAGAGTGTTCATCAACTGGACATCCTGCCCTGTGAGAGACTTCACTATAGTGACCAGATGCTACAACTGCCAGCAGTATGGTCATGCAGCCAAGTCGTGCCAGGCTGCCGCTCCAACATGTGGTCACTGCGGAGATGAGGGCCACTCTATCAAAGACTGCCCTAAGAAAGGAGCTCCGCCGAAGTGCGCTACTTGCGCCCGCTTCAAAAAGCCGAGCAACCATCAAACTGGTGATATTGACTGCCCGGCCAAAAAAGCAGCAGAAAATAGGTACATGAATTCGGTAAATTATGAAGGCGCCTAAGAGCGCCACTCTTTTTTCTTAATCTTAGATCTAAGTTTACTTGTTAAATGGCCATTAACTTAATTAATGAAATTGACGACTCCTTTTCAAACATATCCACTTCCTGTGAGGTTGAAGATTGCAAAAGCTATGTATCCAACTTCTCAAAGTCACTAACTGTTCTCACCCAAAACATTCGTAGCTTATACAAAAATATAGATAATTTTCATGTTCTTTTAGGTAGACTCAACTTCTCATGTGACATAATCATACTAACAGAGTGTTGGCTTAAAAGTAGATGCGTTAACCTACCTGATATTCAGGGATATAACTCTTTTTGTAATACTATGAATACTAGCCAAAATGAAGGAGTGGTTGTCTATGCCAAAGATTCATTAAGAGTTACTGTAGAGGAACCTAATACACCAGGATGCAATTGTTTGGTCATTAAGGTAGATACAATTACAGCAATAATAGCTGTTTACAGGCCACCTTCCACTAGAAATTTAGATTCCTTTCTCAATTCCTTAAACCAGACATGTGAAAAACTAACCTCCTTTAGAAATATTGTACTAACAGGTGACATAAACATTAATATCAACTCTGAGAATTCTGATGTAGGAATACAGGATTACCTTAATTTATGTGCATTTCATGGACTCCTCGCTGCTCATAAATTGGCAACACATCAAAGTGGTTCCTGTCTGGATCACATGATGGTTAAAACCAACTCAAACTATATTAGCCTTGTTACTAACTCTACATTAACCGATCATCATGCCGTTCTGCTTATCCTTAACTTCACGCTTCCGAAGCAAAATCGTCACCAAAGTAGGTCACAATTAAACCTAAAAAAACTCGAACATGATTTACGCAATACCGACTTTGCACCGATTTATAATTCTGCTGATGTCAACGTCTCGATGTCGTATTTAATAAATAATGTTGAACAAGCTATTCGTCGTAATACCACAGTTATAAAAACTAATAATAGACATTATAACATAAAGCCATGGATTACGCCTGGGCTTGTTAGATGTATAAGACACCGGGACAAACTACATCATAGAGCAAAACGTTTTCCTGATAATTTTGATCTACAATTAACATACAAAAGATACAGGAACTTTTGCAATAATTTGCTGAAAAAGATTAAAATCGATTACGATAAAGGCGCGTTACATCGGGCGGGTAAAAATAGTAAGAGACTTTGGCAACACATAAAAAATGTAACTTATACGTCGAAACAGCGAGAATCATGTTCGAATTTACTACTAACAGAATCTTCTTCGCTTCAGTCTGCTGACAATGTAAATAACTACTTTTTAAATGTGGGTAGAAACCTCGCTCAACAGTTGCAGCTAGACTCTACAACCCGGACTAATACACCTTTACTACACTCAAATACTGAAAAATCATTTGTTTTATTAGATACAGACGAACAGGAAATTGCACGAATCATAACTGGAATGAAAGATAATTGTGCAACTGGTTGTGATGGGATCAGCAATAGGATCTTGAAAACATATAAGCAAATTTTTGTCCCACCTCTGACTCATGTTTTTCGAGAGTGTCTCTCTAAAGGCATTTTTCCAAAATGTCTTAAAAGGGCAGTGGTTGTTCCTATATTCAAATCAGGTGACAAGGATCTAGTTAATAATTATAGGCCTATCTCACTACTGCCATCGATATCAAAAATTCTTGAGAAGATTATTAACATCAGATTGGTAAATTACCTAGAAATGAATAAATTCTTGTCACCACTGCAATTTGGTTTTAGAGCAAAATTGTCAGCAGCTGATGCAGTACATACACTCACAGATTTCATATCAGAAGAACTCGGTAAAGGCAACCACGTTCTAGGAATTTTTATTGATCTTGCCAAAGCTTTTGATACTGTGTCTATTCCACTGCTTCTAAAGAAGATGGAATGTATGGGTATCAGAGGCACTCAACTGAACCTCTTTGCTGATTATCTAGATGACCGTTACCAGTGTGTTAGAATAGATGACGTCACAAGCTCATTCCAGAAAAATACGGGTTTTGGAGTGCCTCAGGGGAGTATTCTTGGTCCTACCCTATTTTTGATCTATATCAACGATTTATGTAACATCGAGATGCATCATGGGAGACTAATATCATACGCTGACGACACGGCCCTAATTTTTTCATCCAATAACGACACTGAACTGTACTGTAATGCTCAATTGGCTTTCGATTCAGTTAATAGTTGGCTTTGCTCTAATATACTAACACTAAATGCGGAGAAGACAAAATTTATTCACTTTTCTATGCGCAAGAATCCAATTACCTCTGTTACACCCCAATTATACGCACATAAATGTAGAATTAGTCCACTGGGCACATGCAATTGCCTTGTATATAAAAACTACTTCCATCAGATATCTAGGCATCACAATTGATGAAACTCTTTGTTTCAAACAACACATCAGCGCTTTGGTTGCACGTGTCAGGAAATTGATGTACATTTTTAAAAAAATTAGACAAATCGGAGATGTTAAACTAATCACTCAAATCTACCTAGCGTTATGTCAGTCAATTATCCAGTACTGTGTTACTTCTTGGGGTGGCGCATCAAAAACTATTATACTCCCTCTAGAACGTGCTCAGAGAGCCATCCTGAAAGTTGCATTTTCCCATCCCTTTCTCTTTCCTACATCCATGCTATATAGATCCTGCAAAGTTTTAACTGTTCGCCAAATCTATGTAGTACAGCTAATACTCAAACAACATTCACTACTCAGCTTCTATATTAATAACCTTACTAACAAAAGGCGGAATGATATAGTTTGCACTTCAACCTCAGTGTCAAAACACGCTTTTATAAAAAGATTCTTTATCTTTCTTGGCCCATTTTTATACAATAGAATAAATAGAGATTTAAGCATTTATAGCCTCAATCACTTTCACTGTAAAAAACTATTACATAATTATGTACACACCTTAACATACGATCAAACCGAGGAATTACTTGAAGTAAGCAAATAATTTTATTATAGTTGACTTAGATTATTTTTGCTTACGTTTGTTTATGAAACTGTACACGCGCACCTGTTATACTTAGAGACTAGCTTAATTTAATTTAGACATAAAAATTTTTAGTTTTAAAGCAATATTAATGTTATTTTAAATATTTCAGTACATTTTTAACCTGAAACACAGGCTTGGACCTAGTTCAGGTTTCAAATATTTTTAGACTTTGTTTAGATATTAAGATTTATTTTGTAACCTGGCTTTTTACACGAAATAAACATTTTATTTATTATTTATTTATTTTATTATTTATATACTAAATTAACTAAAATCACGGTTTACTCCTGTAAATATACTGAGAAAAGCTCTACTAGTTGCGAACCACAGAGGGGTTCTTCGGTCGCCGCGACCTCTATGTTTCGAAACTAGTAGAGCTTTTCTCAGTATATTTGTTATACCTCATGATAACTCATAATGCAGGTATTTTAAATTTGTACATCTCTTGTACGTATTATTTAACTTCTATTCGCGTATTGTATTGAGTATGTGTCTACGTGATGGCTTGTTGACATAACCAGCAATCACTGTTATCATAACCGAGGAAAATAACATTTTCATCGCGTTAAAAGAAGTCATTCGGTACTCACTCACATATTATACCTGAGAACCGTAAAATGTTTATAGTTACCACGTGTAGCTACACGTGAATTAGGTAATTCACTCCTAATATAAGTATAATATTTTCTTATAATAAGTTTTTTTAAACGTAACCTTGTGGAGTAATTATAAATCATCAAATTTCAATTAAAGTTACTTTTTTTTACTAAAAGCGTTGCCCCACCCTAGCATTTTCTCCTGTGTTGTGGGTGCGTTTACAAACATACTAGTTCACATAACACACTCAGATCCGAACCACCATTTTGTGGATCACATAAAGAATTGTTTCGTGCGGGATTCGAACCCGCGACACGTTGCCTGGCAGCCAGTTGCCCAGCCATCGTACAGTCTTTAATTTGATTGATTTTAGATTTGTAGAAAAAGAAGACTGTTTAATTATGATGCGTATTTTTTCAAAGTGAAAAATAGATATGCGGTTTGAAAATTATAGTGGTCCCATTAGACAGCAAGAGAATCAAATATATATCCTCATCAGCCGGAAAAAGTGTAGGTAACACTGGCCTCGTTCTTTTATTTGCCACAATTTCGCCCTTATACTTGGTTGGTGGTTTGGCGTTGTCAAGGATATCAGGGCCTCTAGCCAAAAGCCACTTTAGCGCTTGTCTACAGTGAGAGTAGAAATCAAAATGTATGGGGATGACACTGACAAGTGTCAAAATTTACGTCAATTCCATATAATTTGGTTTTCTATTCTACATGTAGACAAGCGCTAAATGGCATTTGGCTACAGCTGCAGGATGGAGATGTTCATTACATGGGAAATTCACGAGGGTAAAAAATGGCGCTAATGTGAACCGCTCGTTCTTCTTCCAATAGGGAATTAGTTAGTGTCACACGATTGGACGTTCAACATTTGACAGCTGCGGTGATTGGTCAAAAAATCTTTGTTATTTGTGCCATCTGATAAGCGAAGAAACAGTAGCCTCCAACCAAACTGAACTCACAATTACAATTTGGTAGTTTCCAGGGTAAGAAAATTAAAAATCTAATTAGTCCGTCAGTTAGATAATGACAAAGTATTAGACACATTTTTTATTTTCTCGTATAAAGTTACAATACTTAGATAAAATGGAGTTAAGTTTAGGAGTGAGAGGTAGTTACGTCACAACGTGCTAGATTTTGTTGCACGGTGTGACGTCACGCGACATTTCAAATCAATATATCGTCGAAAGCCTTTAATTTTGTGAGAAAACAAAAAATACGTGTCTAATGTTTTAATATAATCTACCAGACGGACATTAAAATAACATTTAGGAAACCAGCCTATTAGTATGATACAGTTGAAAACTTTGTTTGTAAAATATTTGGGGAAGATCACGGAAGATACGATCTTGAATAACAATGGATGCTGATGTCCGTTGTTTTCACTTGCAAACGAAAGATTACAATTTACCTTTAAGTGTGAAATCTGGTCATGAAAAGATAAGATTACGATTTTACTGCCTTTATGAAGGTACTGTGTCATGGTCAGCGTTTTATTAGACGCATAGATTTCCTTATTTGTCACCGGATAGATGTTGTTTTAATCTTATGTTAATATAACTTTAAAGAACATTATAGATATGACTAGCTACTTTCGCGCGGTTTCACACGCTCTACTCAGCTCCTATTGGTCGTAGCGTGATGTTATATAACCTATAGCCACCCTCGATAAATGCACTATCCAACACAAAAAGAATTATTCAAATCAGAGTCGTAGTTACGGAGATTAGCGCGTTCAAACAAACAAACAAACTCTTCCGCTTTATATAATAGTAGTAAGTAGTATAATATTTTTTTTAAGGGGGGAAAATCATCAAATGACTGCTCCTGCCTGGGTGAGGCGGGAGGGACTCTTACTGACTAAAAACCACCCCGTTCCTTCTGCGCGTCGAGCCGGAGCCCCGGTTAAGCGTCAGGTTCTCCGCGAAAAGTAGTATAAGACAAGATGATATTTTACGTATATAAGATTTTTTTTTCCAACAATCAATCCCACTCGTCTACTTTTGAAACTTGTTCTCCAAGCGTGTTATTTAAAGCTAATAAAACGATTTTCATCCTACCTATGCTTCATTTGGGTTTCCAAAATGGTCTACCAGCCTTTGTCTTACTTGGTTTTAAATAAAGAATGTTCATAAACTTGAATCTTTACAACCTTACATCCAATCAAGGTTTATGTATCGAGTATACAAGATACAAGTACAAAATTTCGAAATAAATTTAACTTTTTTTTATTTACCGTTTTACTTTTTTAGGGTTCTCTCAGACCAGTTGTTGGTGACCAGTCGAACGAGTCTTGGTTCGCCAAAAAATATTATGAGTACGATGAAATAATTTATTTATTTAATGGAAAACCAACAGCTACACATGGAAAACAAATAATGGCAAAATAATAATTATAGTCATTATTCAATTAATAGATAACTTGATTACACAAAATAAATAATTACGAAAGAATTTTTTTTTTATTCATTTATTCCACTTACATTTATCTTTACAGGTTAATACCCAATGCGATAAATGTGCTCATTTTAATATCTAATTTATTAGATATAATAGAAATTAGTACGTAATAGTAGTTAGACGCCAGTATGTTAAACTATCGATCACAATTTTTTTTACTATAACTCGTATTTTTCGTCCAGACTTTCTCGACTAATTAAATGTCAAGTTAAAATGGCGTAATATCAAAACTTCTACTGTCCCTAGCGGCTATAATAAATCACCACACGCTGGCGTGTAGTGGCTATTAGTGCCCATATTAATTTCCATTTATTCATGAGCTTTACTTAATATAACATAAGCAAAACATGGCGCGGTCTTTTATTTGTATTTTTGATGTTTTTCTTTTCTCTTAACTTGATTGTCGATGTGTACTTAGTTTTTAAAACTGATTGTACTTACTGTTTTTTTTGCAAAATTTTGAAAATAAGGGAGGAATATTGTAGCGACACTAATGTGTTGACATTTTTATGTGTTCTCAAGTGCGTAGCTGCGCCTGTGACCCTATAGCGTTAGCACGCCAGTCGTCTCCCAGCTTTGGTGTTAACCAGTAATATTTTGTAATATTATAGATTAGTTGTGAATTGTGTATTTCGTAGAACAATATGAACACAAAGTTTTACCTATTTTATTTTGGACTTTCATTGAACACACGAACTATTCTGGAGTCAAGTGAATTTAAATAAGAATACACACCACATATTATACCTACTACTAGCTTTTACCCGCGGCTTCGCTCGCGTCACAAAAGGATAAAAAGTAGCCTATGTGACATATACCAATACACACAGCGCCATCTATACCAAAATATTTTTTTACCTCGGGAATATCAAATCTTTCCGGTATAAATATTATTTAATCCGGATTTCCCTATTATTTAATCCGGACTTCCAACTTTACGTCTGCAAAAATTCAAAGCAATCGGTTTAGTAGTTACGGTGCGAAAGCGGAAGCAAACAAACTCATTTTCCCATTTATAATATTAGTAAGGATAAAACCTATTGATACTTTTGCAGTATCATAGATAAATCCTTAACTTTTGTGTTTAACGGTCACTCTTGTAATCAACAAGACAGAAGTTTTACTTTACCTTTATTATTTTTATTTATATTACCTTGTGATACGGAACCTTCGATTTTCGAATCTGACATTAACCACTTTTTTTTGTTATTTTTAGCATCTTTTTTATTTATTTTTTAAATCGACCAAGCAGGTTCGTACACCAAGTATGGTATTAACCTTCTTCTTGTCCAATATTCGAGTTACTTGATTACCTAGGCCCAGTGTTTTAATTTGTCTGTATTTTTTATAAATCAATGTCTGTAATTCTTGTACTCTTGAAGCACTACAGCTCGATGTAGGCCAAGGAGTTGATAAACATTTAAAGTGGACACCTCGAGTGTTTGTTGCTACTGGTATTTTGTTATATTAGTAATTGGACGTAGAACTGATCGTTTGAAATGTTGCAAGTTATTTCGATTTGTAAAAAAATATTAATACAAGCATGCCTTAGCAAGACCCTTCAACTCATTCATGTATAGTAGACCTTAATTTGCTTATTTTAATGGTCTCTCTTAGTTGTAATGTTTCTACTAAATCGAGGAATTTCCTCCGATGGACCTAAACCATTTATGTACTCTTTTAGGCATTACCAACATACCCGTTGCTAACCAACCAATCCCTCTTGTATGATGCAAATGATGCAAGAAAGCTATATCGCACCCTGAGAACGAAAATGACTCAACTCAAATTTGCCGATTTTTGGGAATAGGCGAAAATGTGTTCGTCGTATTAAGTATTTTCTGTTCATTTTACAATAACACTAAAACATGGTAACAAAAGTTATGAATTTCTTTTGAAATATATTTGTCTTGTCATGATTCGGGCGCGGGGGGAGGGAACGGTTGAGGGACAAAGAGACCGATAATAACCGACCGAAATATATCTCTATCCTTTTCTTACCTGTATTGGCCAGTTTTCGAATTTATGTATGATGGAGTATACTTTTTTAAGTCATTCTGTATACTTAACTCAATTAACCAAAATTTTGAAATCGATCACTTTCATTCTCAGCGTGCGATATAATTAGTCACACTATTTGTAATCGATTGTTTTACATAGATAGACATATTAAATCCAGCTATCTATTGGAGCTAGATAAAGTAGATAATACGACTCACACGATTTTATAACTTACTTATCTAACGCATTTAACAAATGTTATGTGTTATTGCCAATATCTAATCGATTTGCACTTTGCACGTAACATGAGCTGAGGTATATCATACGATTTATCAATCTTCATTGATATTCTTTTTCCCAACCCCCGAAGATATATGTACTTGATTGTTTGTGGTTTTGAACATCTTATAGGATGTTGTCCTGATAGGATGTAGTGCTGTGTCTTGGGTGCGTTTACAAACATATAAATTCATATACACATGACACCCAGACCCGAAACAACAATTTTTGGATCACGCAAATTGTTGTTCCGTGCGGGAATCGAACGTTTAGTCACACTTAATGCCAGTGCCACTAGAGCCATGCTTCGGCACGAATGGGCCGGCTCGACCGGAGTGATACCACGGCCTCACAGAAAACCGCCGTAAAGCAACGCATGCGTTGAGTTTCGTCGTGTGAGTGAGGTTACCGGAGGCCCAATTACACAATATAGGGGAGGGCTCCTTCCCAATCCCTGAATCCCCAACGATCTTTAAACTCTTAATCCCCAAAAGGCTGGTAACGCACTTGTAACGCCTCTAGTGTTCCAGGTGTCCATTTGCTTGCCATCAGGTGATCCGTTAACTAGTTTACCGGCTTATGCTATAAAAAAACCGTTACATGCTGCACGGCGGTCGGTTGCCCAGCCACCGCACCAACCGTGCAGTCAAATACAGCATAAACTATACAGCTTTATAGTATACACTATACAGCTTTATAGTGAGTGACTCACTTGGTGTCCGCTTAGTTATATAACCGACTAGCAGCCCGTCCCGGCTTTGCACGGGGTTGACAATTACTTATTTTTGTAAATTTGGATTGTTGTACTGACATAACTACAATAGTTGGACATATGCTACCGCGGAGTTTTTTGTAGACATTATGATGTTCTTCAATATTGTTGTACATTATTTGTTCTATCGCTAATAGTTTCGACAGCGCATTCGACGAAAGACATTTTAAGACTCATTTTTCTACACCTTCGGTTACATTGTTCAAATTTTACCAAGTTTCCCAAATTTTTTTCAAAATTAAATGTAGCCTATGTCAAATTGAAAGAATGTAGCATTCTATTGGTGAAAAAATTTTTTGCCCAGTACTTTTTGAGCCTATTCAATACAAACATACAAAAATAGGTACAAATCTTTCCTCTTTATAATATTATATCTATAAATATAATATAGATCTGGCGGCGTGACCAGCTCGGACGCCAGCATTAGAGTTCTATTTTGACACTGTAGCAGTGTGGTGTGGCGATTCTGGTATCTGTGTGGTGGTTGGTTTAGTAGCAAGTGAAACAAGTGAATTTATTTCTGCAAATAGGCCACAAGGCAGCTTTTGTACACGTCAATTTTTAAGGGAACGATGAGGGCGACGTTTTCTAACTGATTAAACTAGCTTAGCGAGACATCACGGTGGCTACCTCATGGCGACCTCATGGTTGCACTACCATGTTATCTCGGTAAAGAATAGCTTTATCTAAGACTAGCGATTTCTACCCGAGCGTGCGGCGCGGGGGCCCAATAGGGACATGCCGATACGGAGCCGCGGAGTATTAAACGAGTTACCGGGCTCCGGCTCGAAGGGCAAGATTAGGAACGGGGTGATTTTTAGCCAGCAAAAGTAAAAAGTCAAAAATCATTTATTTCAATTAGACCAGGAAGGAACTTTTGAACGACAGCAAAAGTCTATACCCCCTCCTGCCTCACCCAGGCGAGAGAAGACATTCGACGATTTTCCCCCCTTAAAAAAAAAACCTAACGATTTCTAGACACCTGAACGTACGTAGTAGGGAATTAAATCAACAAGTAAATAAGTAATGCGTTTCGCAGATTAACGTAAACAATATTCTGTAGCACAAAAAACGTATCAACATAATAAATTATGATTTATAATTGGTATAAAACTCTACGTGCAAGTCCAACTCGCTCTTGGGGAATATTTTCATAGCAAAGTCAATTTGAGAGGTGAGCTCGTCCGAACAAACACTTCTTAGACAATGGGAGGATATTATCAAACTATCAAAGGCTATCCCTTGTATTGATAGTATAGGTACTATTCTTATCTTAATGAAAATGCCTACTAACTTATTTTGGACTTAATCGTCAACTGGCGAGCGCGAATCTCGCGAGCGCGCGCGAATTGGCACTTTTCGATTTTGCCTACTTTTTTTGTCGTCAACTCGCGCGTCTATATAATTTGATGTTTTAATGTATAGTCAGCTACAAAAGCGTTATAACAAATTTAATTTAGTTAGGTACTTACCTACTATAAATATATAAGAAACTTTATGAAATTTGATTTTTAAAATAAAACAAAATATACATCGTTTTGAAATCAGTTTATTATAAATCAACAGGACAAAATATAAATTATTAGTAGTATTTCCCTTACTAATTATCAACAATATCACATTGATTTGAGAATTTGGCTTATTATCTTATTATCTAGTATGTAAATTGTAAAAAACTAAGTAAATAAAATAGAAACAACGAAATCACTCCCCTCACATACTCGTATACAAAATTATATGTGAGGAGATTTTCGATAAATCTCATAATATAAATAATTTAAACCGTACTGAATATTGGTAAATATAAAATAGTAAAGCTAAACATAGTAATTGACAACAAACTGACTTATTATTGCTCACTAATAAAATCAATCTTAGGAACCATAGAAAGAGTCTTAGAAACTATAAAATCACAGATCAGATATGGTTGTAAATGATTTTTACAAAAAACGCTAAACACTATCAATAAGTAGATTCATCAATTGGCTAAGTTATTACTGACGACCTACTAATAAAACTAATCACAGACTATAAAATCACGGTTTAAATTATTTATATTATGAGATTTATCGAAAATCTCCTCACATATAATTTTGTATACGAGTATGTGAGGGGAGTGTTTTCGTTGTTTCTATTTTATTTACTTAGTTTTTTACAATTTACATACTAGATAATAAGATAATAAGCCAAATTCTCAAATCAATGTGATATTGTTGATAATTAGTAAGGGAAATACTACTAATAATTTATATTTTGTCCTGTTGATTTATAATAAACTGATTTCAAAACGATGTATATTTTGTTTTATTTTAAAAATCAAATTTCATAAAGTTTCTTATATATTTATAGTAGGTAAGTACCTAACTAAATTAAATTTGTTATAACGCTTTTGTAGCTGACTATACATTAAAACATCAAATTATATAGACGCGCGAGTTGACGACAAAAAAAGTAGGCAAAATCGAAAAGTGCCAACACGCGCGCGCTCGCGAGATTCGCGCTCGCCAGTTGACGATTAAGTCTTATTTTGACAACACGACGTGACGCAAAATACATTATATTTAATCACAAATCTTTATACACTTAGCAACGTCTAAAAAACAGGAAAATCAATTAAATACCTACACAGATTATAATAGATAATAAAGAAAATACCTAATACTAAAACCCAAATTACCTGTTGGGTAGTTTTCCAATACATGGCATCGTCATCGTATCGACAATCTGACAGGCGATGTCTCATGATTATATTATACATGCTACCGAAAACGTAGATCGTGGCTATCTTCGGGATAAAAGTAATAAACATGTTTTTTATGACTTCGATTGTTATGCTTTGTTAATCTTAATTATTTAGACATCAGACATCATTCCAAGGTTGCATTTTAGTTAATAACTTAACTGCCAATAATATGGCTTATTGACATAACTGTTGCACGTCATACGGCATCTGCTCCTGACCTCTCATCTCCTCCTGGAAACTATAGTTTTTTTTTTCTCCTCTTATAATATCTTCTGATTCACTTTGTCGCGGGAACCAAGACAGTTATTCATGTTCCTGGGACGCGCCCGACTTCAGTGTTCCGGTGTTTTCATGGTTGTATCTACGGTAGATTCTGGCTTACAGGAGTTGCGGTTCTGAGAGGCCGTGGCGAGATTGTCCCTTTAAAAAAAATCCGCTCCTGACTATGAGCTCCCGGCGTGGCTTGAAACTAGTCGAGAAACCATAATAACTTTTTTTTTCAAACTTTTGTTTCTCTACGTGTTTGATTCTAGAATTTTTCTATTTTAAGTTTCAGTTATTTCATTTCCAAGTCATTACATACGTCATAATATACATATTTTCTTCTGTTAGTTTCTATATAAACGTTAGTCGTTATCATACTATTTAAACTGTCAAACACCAAGCGGTCACCGGTGACCGCGACCTATTGTTCTTTAATTGTGTCTATAAAACCGGTACTCGACGAGTTAAATAATATCTCAATACGTAACTTAGTTATGATGCAATCCATTGTAAGCATATTTGGTCTTCTTTTTAATTCTGTTATTTTAAGTGTGGCAGAGCCATACTTCGGCACCATTCGGCACGAATAAGCCGGTTCAACCGGAGTGATACCACGGCCTCGCTGAAAACCGACGTGAAACAACGCTTGCGCTGTATTCCGTCGTGTGAGTTAGGTTACCGGAGGCCCAATTACGCCTCCCAACCCCAGTCTCCCCATTCCCCCAATCCCTGAATCTCCAAAAATCCTCAAATTCCTAAATAATCGGTAACGCTCTTGTAACGCCTCTGGAGCACCAGGTGTCCACGGGCGACGCCGATTGCTTACCATCAAATGATCCGTATGCTCGTTTACCGGCTTAGCCCATGAAAAAACATAAGTATGTAAACTGACATTTATATATCAGCGTCTGATTAAAATTCAGTAAATACTGACCTGAACTTTAGGTTTTTAGATGAAAAAGACTAAAGAAAAAACCGCCACTAACCTTTTTATCTACCTAAGTTTTACTGCTTTACTGTTCTATATTCAGTAGAAGTTCGGGTGTATATTTAAATAGCCTACACTTACCGTTGCCAAAAACCAAATTTTATGCAGAAAACGGCTATTACAGTTGTTTGTGGATTCAGAGAACTGTTCCCCTCTAATTCAGTCCGCTTAACAAATAATGCTAAAATAGTCTTATCTGACCTTTGACCTTCGCTTCATTATGGTCGACAATGTCTTTCTGACTTTAGTGACGTCAGTCGTTACTTACATGCCTAGAAGATAGAGATTGCTTATGTAATCTTACATTTTATACTATACTAGCTGTTGCCCGCGACTTCGTCCGCGTAGATTAATGACTTCTGACAGAATTAACCAGAATCAATTCAGTGCCCAAGTAAGATTTACCTATTTTGAAATGATTTATCGTAGTTTCAATAAATAAATAATCCCGCAGGGATCTTACCAGTACAGTGCCCGATCACGTAAGGTTTGAGTAATAAAAACTATTCCATCGACTATTGTTGTACCGAATCTCTCTAAAATAAGTTCAGTGGTTAAGAGTTAGAGAGTCCTGGTACATTGACGCATAGTTCCCGTTCCCGTGGACATCTGTGTAAAAAACTATCAACGTTACCCAGTCCCAAATCATCGTTTTACCGAATGTAATTCAAAAAGATTCAATGATTCTAAATTCAATGGCTAAGAAGATTTATGCAAACTCTCATTCCCTATTTTATCCCCTTAGGGGTGGAATTTATCAAAATCTTTTCTAAGGAGATACCTATGTTATAGTAACTTTATGCATGCAAAGTCTCAGCCCGAGCAATTTAAAACTGGCAAAGTATCATACAAACTTTCACCCCTATTTTACCCACTTTGGGGAGAATGTTCAAA